AAAGGAATCTAGGCCCTCTTACTTTCAAATGGAAGCTCATTTTTAAAGGAGCACTGTTCATTGGAAGAGATGTTGTTTGCTATTTGGGTTTTTTTTTTTTCTGGCAAAATGTTTAACTTGTGTTTCTTACCTTTTTTTTTTAAACTTAAATTAATGAAACTGAATTAGAGAGCCAAAATGCATTGTTTTGTATCCAGTTCCTCACTTCATAAAAATTGAGATTCGTTTGGGATGTTGAGCAAAATTCTTGGTGATCTGATATGTAAATGACCTCAAATCTCAAGTTTTATGGCTCAGAAGCATAAGGGTTCAGAAAGTGTCTTTATAGGAAGTTCATTCCCACAGGTCAGCTCTGTTCATTGAGGGACATGGGAAGGGAACAGTTCCAAGTGTTTGTGCTTGTTAAGAATCAACAAGGCATATTTGTATCACAACCACACATTCTTGCACAGCAACAGGGATTGGAGGAAAGGAGAAAAGAAGCAAAGCAGTCAGATAAACCAACAAGATTTTAGTATAAAAGGATAGTTTGCAACATATTGGTTTGTAATCTATGTCCTTGAAGTACCAATAACATAAACTAAGTAAAATAATTTAAAGTGAAGGAGATGATAAAAAAGGCTTTGGTGGTCTCATATTGTTGGGATTTTATTCTAATTCAAGTGTTGTACTCCTGAAGGATAAAGTAATTAATAATTGATTTTCTTCAAATTTGTGTCTACCTGTGATTAACTGTTCTGTGCTAGTCAGGGAAGTTATCACCAGAAAATAGTTTCACAAGGGTTAAGGTTACATCAGGCCCTGCCCTGCTTACTCAAAATTTTGGAAGCATGAAAAAAATTGGTTATGAGACTCCTCTTCAGCATTCCTATCCACTTTTTATGGCCTGTATGTACTTGCGAACCTCATCAATAATGTTTTGTATCACTTCGATTTCCATCTGCAGTAGACAGCAAAATCCATCATGCATCCCAGCTTCAATTTAAGAAAATACATTTTGTTTTTTGGCATATATTGCAGGTAAAGCTCCCAGTGTTCCAGATGTTGGAATGTGCTGCTGCCAATGTTGACAAAATATCAGTGAAAAAAATCATCTGTCCTTACTACTTATGTCTTTTAATGAGCCTCATAGTTTGAGTTACTGTAGTCTGTGGTGTGCATGTTGACTGCAGAGAAAGATTTTTGCAAGCACGTAGTGGGGAGAGGATGGATCTGAAACCAAATATTCCTGTATGTCAGCGGGTATGTCTGTTAGGGGTAGCACAGAGAGAAATGAAATATAAAGCGCATGACATTATAATTACAGTTTGTATGACTTAGAAGATGAAGTCTTATTACACAACAACTCAGTTTCTCTGTTTCAATAAATAAATAAGTAGTCTTACCAATCTGTAACAGCTTTGATGATGTGTGTCTGGGGTTACAGTTGTTCCTTCCCCAATCTGTGTCACCTTTGTGCTTTAGATCTGTAGAATTTGAGCTGCAGGGTTGGTAAAATGAGCTTTAGAAACTGTCATTTAGTGAGGATGTGATACACATTTCCCCGTTACAGTCACAACTGTTGAACAGCTCCTTGTCTCATCTGAGACATGAACTATTGTAGTCCCTTTCCTCGCTGGAAAGAGTGTGATTTCAGTGCTGAGACTGAGGGTGACCTGAAAGATTTTTGTTACTTCCAAATAAGGTTTGAAACTACTGTGTTAGGAAGCACACGGAGTTTTGTTTTCTGACTCAGGTTATACGGCATCACCGTGGGCTGTTATGACTTAATTTGTAAACTTGCTGTGTGCCATTGCAGCTGAGGAACAAGTTAGAAAGTTAACTGCAACTGTAATTTATTTAAAAGTTCCTTTGTGTTACTTGGCATGTGGAAGTGGTGGTGTCTGCTTAATTGATGAAGGCACCTCTTATGAGTGTTTTAAAATTACCTAAAATTGGAAAATTCAGGCTTTTATTGTGCTACCATCATCATGGATTGTATTCATCTAATGTATTGTGTAACTCACACTATTTTGAGGCTGTCTGTAGCTTGAGTATGAGAGAGTTTTGAAAAAGTCATAAATATGAGGTTTGTAAATAGCTGAATGTTCAGATTGTGTTTAAAAACTTTTCTATTCTATGTGAAACTCTAAATTGGGGTGGTGTTTGAATAGAATACGTTAATTGTGGGCATCACTGAATTCATAGAATCACAGAATGGTTTGGTTTGGAAGGGACCTTAAAGATCATCTAGTTCAAACCTCAGTTCTTGTTTTCTGTGCGTTGTGGCCCCATTCACTTACTTAAGTCTTTGACATTCCTCATTCTAAGTAGAGAAGTTAAAACCACAGTGAAGTTTCAATATGGCCATAAAAGCTGAGACTACAGGGATGTCTCTCTGCCCTCTCTGTTACAGAACTAGAATAAAACACCTTTTTTTTGTCCCAGACTAAATGTGCAAGAAGCAAATCATTGAAGTCAGGGTTTTACAAATGTTAATAGATAATGAAAAAGGAAATCAAGGCGTGGTTGCAAGAGAGAAAGCTGGGGTGAACTCAGATCTGATCCTTTGGAGTTGTAGTTTGTAGGCTAATTTGGATTTGTGATTCCTCCAGCTCTCTCTTCTTCTCTGCTCAAAGCATGTACACAAACTCTGGTGGCTGGGCAAACTCTCCAGCCCAGACTTGGCAAAACCAGGAAATCTAAAAGTAGCTCAACCAACAGCAAGAAATACTTATATTCATAGAGTTTGTGTGAATGAACAGAAATTGGGGATCTACCTACAAATAAGGATATGGTCTTGTCAGGCATCTCTATACTCTAGTGATCTCCCAGTCTGTATCAGAATACGTTAAAAGCATTATTTAATGTCTCCAGAAAGGCTTTTGGGGGGGGGGGGAATGGGAATGGGAAAAAAAAGGGATCATTTTAATTAAATACATTTAGCTTCTCATAATTTATAGCAATTATAAATTAAAACAACTGTTGCCACAGTTATTTGAAAGCTGTGATTTAGGTTTTACAATGTTTTAAATTACCATAATTTAAATGTATTTATACTATTCTAAAGCGATTTTACTTTGACAGATGCTAAAAGTGTAAGGAGAAACTTGGGATAAGAAGGTGACACAGATCTATATAAAGTGTAACTTTTCCATAGAAGATTACTTTGTGAAATGTGGAGGGGGGTGGATTCTGAATCAATGGCTGTATCCATCCAATGCCAAATGAAGCCAACTGAGCCCTTTTCATTTAATGATGAAAGTGGAATTCTATGTATCAGAGGCTTAATTGAACATCTTTTTAAAAATATCTGTGGTAACCTCTTGGTAAATGACCAGATACTGAATAATTGTGGGGCATGGATTCAGAAAAGAAAATAGCCATCAGTATGGGGGATTTCACTGTTTGTTGGGAGCAAGGAAAGGAAAAAGAAAAAACATGCATTTTCTTGTATAGTTAGTTCTGTCTGAGTACATCAACATAATTCACATATACATAGTTGGCTAATAAATATTTTCCTCGGTTGTGAATATTTACATTGGGATACATTTTTGATGTTTTGATATTAATCTTCTGTGTCAGAAATGATCCTATTTCAAGAAATACCCGCAAGTATGTTGTTGAAAGAGTGCAAAAACTGGATTTTAGCTATGTGAGTACAGGTTTGGTTGTGTGATGAATTACACACTTTGAATCATCTGGTATGTAAAGGAATACCAAAAGCCAGTTATAAAGGTTTGTAAGTGCCCTCAGAGGGACACTTCTGCCTCCTCGGGGTACCTTTTATTTTGAGAATTGTGTTGCTTTGAAATCTCATTGCTCAGAAATGTGTCCACTAACTTCCGTTTCACTGTTTGAATGGAAGAATTTGTCTTTTCAGCTGTATTATAGCATTTATTATTTCACTCAGCAGGTGAATGTTCACTCAATAGATGAACTTCTGAACAAACTTCTTTCAATCCTCAAATCTTCCCTCACGTCTTTTTGAAAAGACTTTGGAATAGATTTCTTTAGAACTCACGTGTCATTCAATAAATAAGCAGCAGTTAAAAAGGATTGATTTGCCACAGCTAGTGCAGTCATGAAACTATCCTATTCTGTTTTCATAACCTATTACTTTTTCATGTTTAAAAGCTTGACCTACTGTAATTATCCAGTTGAACTGTTTGTTGTTAACACTGGACAAAGATTCCATATTTTGAGTCAAGGCACCTAGACCTTAGACCATCTACTAAAAGCTGCTTCCAAAAATACATATTGGTGATGGGGTTTTTAAAGGGTTGCCATTGTTGTAACTCGTGTTTTGGCAAATGTAATTTCAGTTTTTAAAAAACAACTAGCTTTTTATTAGTTGAGTGCAATACTAACATCTCTCTGAACTAATTTTAATCTCTTTATCTGTAACTTCTGTGGGGATTCTCTAAGTGCCATGGGTGAGAGAAAATCAAAAGCTTTTGTGGGATTGGGAAGTATTGTTATGCAGGTTGTTTATATCCAATGATGTCAAATAAACTTGAAATAAACCTAGTTTATGTAAAACAAACAGACAAATAAACCCACACAGCATGACTCAACAATTCTGTTACTCTTATTGCTGTCCATTATCCCTTCTGTTGTTTCAAATAGTAATTTCTAAACTGTAGCTTAGGACTGAAAGCAGGAATGTGTTTCTCGCCTCTGTTTTTTCCCCCTAGTTGGATTAAGCATCAAAATAAAATCCTTTTAAAATTTAATTATAATGTCAGTATATTACATAAGGTTTTTAAGAGCATAGCCTTTCTAAAGTGGAAGGGTAGGAGAATGTCTTTAATATATGCAAATACAAAACGCCTTTGGTGTTCTTTACACTGGTCTGTAATTAAAGCTATTAATTTTACATTTAATGGGCAGCAAGGACAAGGGGTGTATTCTGTGCAAATACTACACTTGAATGTTGAAATTTTGTCGAGAAATAACAGAACTGTAGCTCAGCAAGTAAGAGAATGATTTATTTATCCCTGTTTTCTGGGTGTGTGTTCCAGGGGTCCGTTCAGCGTCGTGCGGAGATGCATCAACAGGGAAACAGGGCAACAGTTCGCTGTGAAGATCGTCGATGTAGCAAAATTCACTTCAAGTCCTGGATTAAGCACAGAAGGTAAGAACTAATAATTAAAGTGAATCCCCAGCAGACAGGGTTTTCAATTTGTCAACCTTTTCTGTGTTTGCTCTCTTTAAGATCCTTTCTGCTTTATAGTTTGTGGAAGTTTTAAAATGAGGTCTCGTATCTCAAATGTAACTTAGGGCATGCATTTCTAATCTTTAGTGGTTCCTACAGCTATTCTGTGGTGATAACAAATATTAGAAATGTAATTAGGTCTAAGCCATTTCTATTTTTGTTTGGATTTTTCTTTTAAGAATGAGAATTTCATACAAAAAATAGTTCTGAGTCAAAAAAAGCATACAAAGGAATTAAAGTAAGAACACGGTTTTGTTTTTACTAATCTAGGTTTAGCAAGTACTTTGCTATAAATGGGTGAAAACTTGTGATTAAAGTTTGTGAAATTATGTTTAAAAAGTAAGTTTTTATATAGTCATGATTTTAAAACAATGCTGCAGAAGTGTCACAATGTAAATAAAATGTTGTAACTCTAGCCTCTCCTATTTCAGGGTAAAACTATGTATGAGTATGCAACCTGTGTGTGCATAAAGTTCTTCTTTTACACCACGTGGAGAAGAGCATTGTAAACTGAATGACAATTGCTGTGTGCATCTGTGTGCTGGAGATCATATTCTTTTGTACAGTAATATGTTTGGGGAATTCCACTTGTGCCAACTAAGTCCTTATAAACCCAAATTCAGCAACCAAAAAGGGTCAGTGACTTGCTGGTAGTTACAACAAGCAGGGTCTTAAGCCTTAATGACTAGTTTGGTTTACAAGGTAAATCACAGGTCTTGCTTCAGACTTTACTGAAGATTATAATTTAAATCTGATAATGCCATTGCTAGTTTCTTGTTTCTCGACCTCCAATAGAATACAAACCATGTTTTCCATAATATTTAGCTTGTGATTAGCTGCATTATGGTTTTGTCAGGTTGTACCACAACCACTGCATTTTGATCTAGTGAATTTTCACTGAAATGATTTTGTATCTTTTTAAGAAGTTCTGTCAGTATTCTAGTCTTTTTCTGAGCCTCATTTTGACTACTGATGCTAGGACACATTTCTACCTTTAGTGGAGTATTGCTTCCTTGCTCCAAGAGTAAAATTCAACCTTTTGAAGCTGTGAAGGAACTTCTGAAAGGGAGAAGTAGCAAACAAGAGAGTAGGGGCTCATCAGGAAGAAAATAGGAGCCAACAGGAATAATAGATTGATTGAAAAAAGGATAATTGAGGGTTTGCATTAGCTGTCTGGGTCTAAAGAAAAGGCTTGGCAGGATATTGAGAAATTTTGGTTGTTTTTCAATTGCACTTGTGTTATATTGTTATAGTTACAATTCAAGGTAGCAGGTCACTGAGTTAAGAGATCATAAACGTTTTCTGGGTTTAGTGTTGTTTTGTTTTGTGGTTTTGGTTGTGGATTGTTGTTGTGAATTTTCTTGTAGTTTTGGGGGTTTTTTTAAAGGTTTTGAGTTGTTCTGTGTTAGATTTGTAATATTAAGACACAAAGATGCAGATGTGTAAGTGAATGTGGAGCAAGTTCTTATCTCTGCATAAGAATCTAAACCTGTTTTTCACAAACTCTTTCCATCTTCTGTACTCTTTATTTTATTTTTCCTTTGTGCTTTTTGTTTGACTTGGTTTTTTGGGGTTTTTTTGCACCTCTCCTCTATCCAGGTTTATGGGGATTTTAACGATATTTTTTTTCTAATTTGTTTGTTTATTTCTGGTATTGCATTCCTTAAACATTGGGGGGCAGCCATGATGTATAAAGTAAATATTAGATAACTTACCTGGGAGGAAGCTGCATTTGTAAATTGTATTAAAGTATGAGCTGTAATGGAATAGTAAGATTAATCCTTGGAAACACTTTTTACCTTGAAGTTTTGCCTTCTGCGAGACCAGTTTGGTCTTGAAAGTTATCTTTGTCCAACTTTCCACATCCTGTCTTTCTCTGAGGCACAGGAGTGTGAGCACAGGATGCTGTATGTGAGGAAGCTGATGTCAGCATCTTCCATTAATGTCACATACATCAGTGCTGAGAGGTAAAGGGCCCATCATGTCTCCACGCTTATGATTAAATCTAAAAAGTCTCTGTCCTTGAGTGCTTTTGCACAGGTACCTCTGTGGGATGGCCTGTTTATGGGTAAGAACTTTGTTTGTCAGGAGTGGCAAAGACAACCAACTGCATGGTAGAGCACTGAAAAAGTGTAGCCAGCAAGCCAAAGGAAGTGAGTGTTCTCTCTGTTCATCCCTTGTGAGACTGTACCTGGAGCACTGTGTGCACTCTCGGTGTCTCCAGTACAAGAAAAACAGTGATGCGCTGGCATGAGTCCAGCAGAGGTGGACTGAGAGAACTGGGTTTGTCCAGCCTTGAGAAGAGAAGCCAAGGTGAGATTTAGTGCTGTCTTCAGCTACTTAATGGAAGTGTATAGGGCAGATGGAGCCAAGCTCTTCCATCTAGGCACACAGTGAAAAGACAAGAGGGCACATGGATAAGATGCAACATGAGAAAAAGCCAATAACAGACAAGAAAAGAAAAATCTGCTGCTGATTGCACAGAGAGAGTATGGAGAACATCTTAAGAGATACTCAGTACTGGACTGCATGAGGCACTGAACTGCCAGATCTGTTTTGACCTGCTTGGACCAAGAGTTTGGACTAGGTGACCTCCAGAGGGTCTTTCCAACCCACATGATTCTGTGGTGTTAGTAGCAACAGTCTGCATGTAATCTGTGGGGCAGTACAGTTTGAATACTATGTAGGAAGAAAACTTAGGCATAACAGTACCATGCTTAAAAAGAGTTAATTTAACACTCGGTTTGATCTAAAGTTTTTATTCTTTTAACTTGTGAGCCCTTTGGGCACCAAATATGTTTTTAAAGGACTATTTGTCTGAACAAATAATTTAAAAAAATATATACTAATGTCTTACAGTAATGGTATCTGCTTTACCACAGCAACAAAAACAATCAAGCTTGAAAGCTTCCCTAGGCTAATGTGTTTATCAATTGATGCTGTTGTGAGCATTTGTGGTATATGATGGAGCAGCCACCAGCTCAGAAGACAAACTTTTATCTGGCATAGCTTTCTTTCCGTAAGGCTACTCAATACTCATAGCATGTATAGGCAGGGACATCTCGAGTGCTTTTTATGTCTGTGTGCATCTCTGCAGTGGTTTGATAATAGGGGGAAAAATTAATGCTAGGTAACGATGCCTGACAGCTAGCAAATCTAATCTAGGCTAAATTCTATTGGATTTATGTATTAGTATTCATGGACTTGCATACTGTGTGTCATCAATCTCTGCAGTGTTGTAATTCAACCATATTAATGAAGTATATTGACACCTTGTCACTGTTCAAGTGGCCACGTGATCTACTGGATTAATGGTGGATATTTTACATGTTGACAGATTCTACTACAGTTCACTTGGCTTTCATATCGCAGAGATACGAAAAAGGTGAAGGCTGAAAATCTTTAGACATAAAAGGGTTTATTTTGTACATTTTAGAGAATCCATGTGGAAGAGTACTTGATGCTCTCAGAAGATAGTAGTAGTAGTAGACTCACTGAGGTCTAAAAAATATATCACTGTAAATAGACTTATTTTCAAATACAACCCTTAGTTGTTATACTCAGAGCTTTTGGTAGAGGAAAGGGTAAAAAACCTGTTCCTTTTTTCTTAATTTGTTACAGTTCACACCATAGTTAGTTTGACTGTCCATTTCCTCTGCTGCTCTCTTTGCATCCCATGCATTTTCTTTCTTTCTTTTATTTTTCTTTGCATGGCTTGAATATCTGATTTTTAGTTAGCTGCTCTCACCAAATATCTCTAAGTGCTCCATTTCTCAGGAAGAGAACAGTGATCAGTTTTTTACTACACAGTAAAAACCAATACATGTTATTCATCTGACTTTTCTTAAAGCCAGATTGCTTTCCTGTAACGTACTGAGTGTTTTTTAAAACAATTTAAAGGACAGTGCTTTGTGCTTACAGTGCATGTCTCTTTGAAGTTGCTTTTCAAGATTTCATTCAACATATATTGTATTCACTTACTTGTAGTTCATTTCTATAGAAATGCCCTCACAAAGAAAGTGATTACCAGGATTTCTACAGCCTTCTAATAGGCTACACCTTACTTACTAGGTTTATATATGTGTTGATACACAGGTTTGTATGCATCCAAGCCACTGTGAAGCTGAATAGATAAGCTGATAAGGAAGGATTGCAGTTTCCTTTAGAACCCCAACCTGTTCTTCTGGAAGAAAGCTGTAAAGATCATCTGCAAAATACTTTTGTCTGTGACAATGAGTAAAAATTGTAGCCAATAAAGAAGTGTTTTGAATATAGTTCTTGGCCTACTTCTGGCACTGAAAGGGGCAAGAATATTGAATAAATACTGGCATTGCTATGGATCATCCACTTTAGGAGAAGAATTCCAAAATTATTTTACTGCCGGGGGAAAATGTGAAAGTTGGCATCATGTTTTTGTTGGGGTGTTTTGTTTGTTTTCTGCAAAGGGCTCACAGATCCCAACATATTTTCAGATTGTGGGTGATTTTCTTCCAATTGAAACCTTACTCTTGTTCTGGTTATTTCCTTACATAGTTTACCCTTGTTGGTTTAGGGTTTTTTTATTATTTACTTAATTTAGACTTGCATTTTTAAAATCATTTTACCAGGGCAGTTCTTTTGAAAGGCTTTATTTAGTTCTGAGTAAAGCTGCACGACACAGTATCTTTAACTTTTGATATTGGAAGACTGTGGTGAATCACAAGTTATTTTTTGCAAAAGTATCTGTGTGTAAGATTCTGCACATCCCTCCCTGTTTTTTCAAGGGTTTCAGCAAAAAAATTGATGTCAGTGTTGAGCTCATCTCTTTTGAGTAAAAAATACTACAAATCATATGTCATCAAATTTTATGATACTATACCATATATAGGCGGGATTTGAAGAAAGAGTGAGTGACTCATTGCCTTTGATTTGGAAATACC